GCCTTTTCCCTGTCTTTTTTTTTTTTTTTTTTTTTTTTTTTTTTTTGGTGGGTAGGATGCTTTTGGTGTTTGTTGTACAATTTAATTACTGTGGAAATGAAATGAGACTACGATGTTTTGAACCTATATATGTAGGATGAATATCGGTCCAAACTAGGGGTACCCATTTTGGTTATTAACCGAATAATCGAGACGAACCAAAGCGAATAAGATATAACCGTACCCGAACCGAACACAATATCAAAACCGAATGGTTATGATTTCCTTAAATCCGAAAAAACTGAAACCGAACCGAATATAAAAGATAACCGAAAAAACCGACAATTTTTCTTTGAAAAAATAAACTTTTACCGAAACCAAACCAAATTCGAATCGAAAAATAATTGAACCGAACCAAACCGAACCGAAATTTATATAAAAACCAAATGGTTAAAGTTTTTCTATAACCGAAATAATCAAACCCGAATACAACGAAACCGAACCCGAACCCGAACCAAAACCCCAATTGACCACCCCTAATCCAAACATTTAAAAAAAAAAAGAATTGAAAAATGTCAGTAAAGAAAGGGTTTTGAATAGTAAAAAGAAAAGGATAAGACAATTAAAAAGGGTAAAAGAATATGAAAAAAACCAAAGAAAAGAGGAAGTATGATATATACAATGAACAATTTATATAATTATAAAAAAATATTGGGAATGGGTAATAATACTGCCACAGGGTTTGCGGTTTTTTACATCAAAGCGAGTCCACAGTACAGAGATCATGGCCTGTTGTCCGAAGATCCTCATAGTCATAGGCTCCCTCGGTTAGGCGCCAGCTCAGATTCTACGGTTCAGATGAATGGAATCAACTCCAAAAGCTCAGATTCTACGGTTCAGATTAATGGAATCAACTCCAAAAGATCCGAGGCATCGGATCTCTCGACGAGCCGGCTCGCTGGATTCGGGACAGACATACGACTCCCTAGGTGATCTCGCCTGCGAAGATTATGTCGAAGATGTGTTGAACTGCAAAAAGATTACACTAGAGCCGTGAGAACATAAAAAAAAAACTCCGAGATTTGGTCTGATAAGGACAAGAAAACAGCATCTCAAGGTTTCTATATATATAAGATTAAGTGTACCTTCTTCTTTCTGGATGTTTGGCTGATCTACCACGAGTTGTTGGAGCGCTGTGAGATCGCCCGGACTGAAGTTCCCCATCATTCAACCGAGCAATAAATGCATAACCCGAAAGAACTCATTAGCATACACTGTCAGAGGTATGAACTCGGGTAAGAGATGCATAATCCTTTTGCTCGTTTTTCTTCAGTACCTTGAGTTGACAACGGCATGGGACAGTGAGGAAAACAATGAAGATTTCAGAAGGTACCTGAAAGGTTTTAACAGCTCAGACGACCACAATGTAATAACAAGCTTTCGATGTTTGGACAAAGGAATTCTATAATGTTTCTTACTCGGACCGATGCATGTCATAAAGAAGATAAAGCCCGTTTAGGCAATCTTCGATGCAAGGATTTACTCCAATCCGATGTTGCAGCTGTTTCTTGCTCAGTTGGTTAGAGCCGGTTTTTACTAACTGAGCCGCATCCCGATGAAGCTTCTCAAATGCCAAAGCACTGACCCTGAATTCCTCCCTGCAGGTTTATGCACAGATTCAAACAGAAAGCAAAGCATAAACTCCAAACAAAGAGCGTGGCATTGTTCTTCTTTGGTCTCTTTTCCATGTTCCTACACAGTTTTCAGATTAGACCTAATAAACTTACAAAATCTTTCTCATTGAAAGCAAAAGAGTCTCCAGTTGATCCATCTGCTTCTTCAAAACTGCGTCTTCGATCTCTGATATGCATTTCAAAACCCCATAACACCGAGAATCTTGAATATCCTGCATGGGCAGCCAATCACATATATCATGATTCCCGATGAAGATAAAAACAAAAAAAAAAAAATTCTCGTACAAACAGAAACAAAGCAATACATGTAATCTGAGGATGATAGAAGAAGCGTTTCTGAAGAGCGAAACGAATCGAAGTTGAAAAGCTTCCCACTTTTCCATCTCGCTTTGGGCCTTTCGGAACTTCTGCTGGTATTTCTTGATTACAGCTTCCATGGAAACCCTGATTTAGATGCAATTGCGGTCGGAACCGAAATCTAAGGTGAAGAAGGCCTTGACCAGACAAGGATGTAAAATCTACAAAACTAGCTTTTGAAGAAGTTATTGGTCCTGGGATCCTACGAGGATGTGAACAGTACCGAAGTGACGGATAATGCAATCAAATGAATGACAGAGAGAATAATGATCCGAATTATATATACGCGCACACACACATTATACATACACATACACATTATGCATACATTACACATACGGAATATATATACACATACAGATTATACATACACATACATATACACAATACACATACAAAGCTTAAACAGTTAATTTCCCACCATGTTATTACAGAAACAACACCAAAGAGGAGGGAGACATCATTAACTACCCAGAAACAATGAAGCAGAGATTACAAATACGCATACATACATACAAAGCTCCTCTCTCGGTCTCGAACAGAGATCACACACACACGTCACATACACAACACATACACATACACAAAACGGACTCGAAGGCAAAGGAAGTAAACTCACAGTGAGAGTCCGAGACCCAGAGACGAGCGTCGAATCAGAATCGACGGAGGAAGAAGAACCCTGCACACAACAACAAGGAAATCGACGGTGAGAGACGATTTCGGCGGCGGAATCGACAGAGATGGAGTCAGATACAGAGGAGGGCCCGAGACCCAAAACATAGAGTTGAAGCAGAGAGATATACCTGGAAGGAAAGGAGAGAGTCGACGGCAAAATCGGCGGCGAAGGGAGAAAAAGAGAAGATAGTCAGGTCTCGAGGAGTCGAGAGAGGCGAAGAGAACAGAGATGTATGAGAAAGAAAGTGAGAAAACATGTAAGAAACCCTAATTTTCTTTTTTTGAATGCTCAGATCGCCAACTCGCGCTTGGACTCTGGTTCGCAGCGAGTTGACTCAGTCCGTTTTTCTTTCTCATATTTTCCCAACTCGACTCGGTAAAAAACGAGTCAACCTCAAACAGCCTCGCGAGACTCGTTTGCCCATCACTCATTCAGATGCTATTATATCAAAAATACATTTACTTTATATTTCAACACATATCATTTTTCAAGTGTGATCATACGACACATATAATTTAAAATATAGTATGGTCATATTTTGATCTTATTGATTATAACGTTAAATTTATGGTGATCACACTAATTCATTATTTTTATACATTGTATATCTTACTAATCATTTGATCAAAACATCATAAATTTAACGTTATAAGTAGTGAGATTGAAATATGACCGCACTATATCTTATCTCAGGTCACATGATCATAATTAGAAAAAGATATGTATTGAAATTAAACTAGTAAAGTAAGAGTATTTTTTATAATGTCCCGATTCAGATTCAGAACTACCAAAATCTCATATATATTGTTACTAACACTAATTGAAGCAATATTTAAGATGTTAAACCGAAATATTCGGTAATATATCTATCCGAATTGAACCGTTAAAAAATCCTTGCATATAATGTCTTTAGAAAATCTAATACCCTAAACAGAAACAAATGAATATTAAAAATAGTTACTCACCTTATAATCATAAACTTTTTAAAAAGTTCAGTATAGATAACCTTTGTAATTTATATATAAAAGCATGAATTTTAGAAATTTTACAATATTTTTGTCAAATTGGTAAGTTTATGATTTTATGTGAAAATTATAAAATTCATAAAAAAATAATAAATATATGAGAATATGGAAAGTTTTACAAAGTTTAATATTTTATATATAAAATTATAAAGTTTGTGATTTTATATGAGATTTTAATAATTCATAATTTTTTTGACGATTATTTTAATTAAAAATTCTGAAAAAAAATTAAAATTTATTTATAAAATATATTCTTAATATAAAATTGTTTATATGAATCTTGCTTATTTTAAAAAGACAATGAAGCTGTGGAATTGTCATGTGTTTATATAGTGAGTATTGTTTTAATAGTTAATTAATTTCATCTCATGATTTTGGTAACTCAATCTACGACTATTTGGGGTGGT